CCCCAACATCCGAGGGAGCTCAGGAGTTTGGGGGTTGTAAACGGACACAGACGAACCCCTCGGCACCAGATACAGTGATTCCCAGGATGTCAGCAAGAAGAGACTTTGCTGGCTCCTTACTGTGGAAGAGATGAGCAGCCCCATGCCAAGCCGTGCCCCCAGGAGCGCGGTGCCAAGGGGCTCCCTGCCATGCTGGGATTTTTCATCATATGCCTGTGAAGAGCGAGCCGAGAGCCGGAGGCCGAGTACAGGGAGAGCCACGGGCTCCTCCAGAGCTCCCTGCGGCTGCTTCTCCTTTGGCTGAAAACACAGATCAGATGGATGATGCGTTTAACACTGAAGAGGAAAGCACCAGAGAGCCTGGGATAAGTTCCAGAGCCTCTGGCACACTTCTCCCTCTCATTTTCCTGGTATTTCCCCACTGGAACTCTTTTCAAAAAAAAAAAAAATCTTATCTCCTGGAACCATAAAAGCATTGTAAGAGCACAAGGCTTTTGAATCCTGCATGCAAAAATAAAATAAAAACGCTGTCCTACTCTGGCTGACCTTTAAGTGAGTGGCAGAACACGGGGGGTTTTTTTATGGCATAACCCGAAATGACACATTTTGTGTGTCTCAGGGAGGCGTGGGCACTGCTCCACATGTTCAGTGTAAAATATCCTTCTCCTTGCTGGTGGAGAGTTGTAAAACGAAGAGAAGCTGGATGCGTGCAACTGCCAGGTGATACCCAAACCCTCTGCACCAAAACCCCCTCCTCTGGGCACTGAAATGCCGTTAAATAGGTCCAGGCATCCCAAGGAGGGCTGAGCCCTGGCAGGACAGCAGAGGTCCAGTCCCCGGCCGGGAGCGGAGCCGGGGGCTCAGAGGGCAGCACGGCCCAGGGGCACCGGGAGCAAGCGGCTCGCAGGCAGCCCCCAGTGTGAGCCATCTGTACGCCGTGCCCTGCAACAACTCCACTACTAATAGTCACTAAATAATTAAAGTCTTAAAATCACTCCTGCCTTGGATGCATCTATTATTTAAGAGGGTTTTGGAGAGAAGCAGGCTTGTTTCTATTGCTCATTATCATCGCGTGTCAGCCGGGATTTTTTAATACCGTGTCACCTCAGGACTTCAGTTCAAGCCCTGTCCTCCCCTTCCTTGCACGTGCCAGTGTGTGCGCATCCACAAACTGCTCGTGCAAATCCCATCACTTCCCTCTCGCAAGCAGAAAACCAAACGCCTGGACTGTGTCGGGAACAGCTGGAAGCATCTCCTGCCGCTGTGCGACAGATGGACCCGCACGGGCACCACATGGCTGGAGCGCACGGCTCCTGGCACACGACCTCCTTGTGCCAAGCGGGGCTGCCCGCGCACCCGGCACAGCTCCTGCCTCATCCAGACAGGGCAGCTCAGGAGAACGGTCCATCCTGGTCCATCCATGGCTGTACACCATGGAGAAACCAACACTCCCCGAGCGAGAGGGAATCTTGCAGAAGCATCTCGCGAATAAACGCCGTGGAGCTGCCGTCTTCACTCTGAGCAGCGATGCACCGACCAGGAAATCTCTTACCAGACAGTCAGAATTCAGTGCTCTCCAGTCACTCAGAGAACCTCACTTCCCACTAAATGCCTTTACTTCTGCTGTGGGTTGAGTGATGAATGTGTACGAAGGCCAAGATGGCACTTTGATTATCAGCGTTAGAGGGGTTCGGTCGAAGACGCTGGGGCCGCCGTGGTGGGAGCCGCATCCAGACAAACAAGTCTTGTCCATCACGTAGAGCTCACCACGTTACATGGGGGATTAAATTGCTGGTGAATCATTCCTCACCGAGGAGTCGCCTGCTCCATTTCCATATGACTTAATCTCTGCACTTGATTCCCGTGGCTACTTGAATCCAATCACTCAGCCCAGGCAGCACGGCTCTGCTTGGACACACCAGCATTCCCCGTGCGCTGGGTGAGCACAACGGTCAGATCCGATTTCCAGAGCCAGATGTTTGCAGCGCGGTGTTTCCCGCTAACAGAGGGTCTGCACATGGGGCTCTGTTCCAGAAATTCATGAGCCCGGCGGCTCTGAAACCTTGCAGTTGTCACAATTGTCCTTAATTGATCCTTAATTGTCACAATTAAGGATCTTCCTCCACTATTGCTCGTTTGTAAATGCCACACCTGGGTTTAACTGTGAGCAAACACAACGCTCTAGATGGCTGAAAGCTCTGGACGGGTCTGTGCTTCCACGCACACGATCCATCGGCACCTCCGCTGCGGGCAGGAGCAGCGGTGCGGATACCCCCACTCCCACCCCCAGGCAGGAACGCAACCGTGGGCTTCCCAGGACAACAACGTCACCGCAGCCGAGAGTGCACCCTTAGCAAAGCGTGTTTCAAACATAACCCTTACTGAAAACTGCCCCAAATGAAGCGAAAGCAGAGGGCGGACAACAGGAAAATAAAGCCCATGAACTCAGCAGCGACTCAGAATTCCCAGTTTGAGCCCCTGAAATCCAGCCCGGGAGTGGAGGCAGCTGCCAGCACAGCCATGCAAACCCCTTACAGCGCCAGGAAAGCGGGACGTGCAGGGGGAAACCGTGTTAACACAGACAGAGCGGGGTCAAACCTTTCAGTGTTTGCCCCTGGCATGCCCCTTGGCTGCGGGTCAGAATTTCCTTGAATAAAAAGCACAAGATTTGGTCCACTGTGGAGACGTCTGTGCGAGCGAAACATCCCCGGCTCTGCCTGCGAGCACGTGGATACCCCAGCCCGACTCCTCACGTACGAGGTGAGATCTATACATAATTCACACCCTGCAAAGACACTTGGGCATTTGCACTTCAAACCTCGGTGAGTCGCTGCCTTATTAATGCCAGGTCTGACTCTTCCTGGGAGCAGTCCATATCCCGGGAGCCCTGAGCCAGTGCCAAAGAGTCATTCCAGAAACAACACAGGAGTTTTATCTTCTCATGCACCTGCTGCAGGTTAGGAGGGGGGTGAGGCTGGCAGCGGCTGCCTGCCCGGGCACCAGGGGAGTCAGTCTAGAGACACGGTTTGGTTTTAGGCAATGAGGATGGGGATTACAGGATTAGAACTGCTTTAACTGGCAGGCAAAAATGACAGAAATAGGACAGGGTTAGGTGTGGGGTCAGGCAAGAGCATGAACAATTTCAAATTAACCCTTAAACACCTTCTTTTTCCAAACACAGGCACAAGAGGCAGACAGCACCTGCCCCAGGATCGCTCCATACTCCAAGCGCTCATCTCCATCACCCCAGCGCACAGCTCTGCCAGCACCCTCAGCTCCACCTCTGCCACTCCTCACCATTCTCCCACCCACCCACTGAGGAGAGCAACCCCCAGCCCCAGACCAGTCGACCGTGCTCCCCCGGGCTGCAGCCCATCGGGCTCCTGCGCCAGGCGGGACGGGCACGAAGGGCCAAGCACGACTTCTCAGCTGCTTCTCTTCCCAGGGCACAAACGTCAACCTTACGTGGGTTCACGTAACCCCTCCAGAAGTCCCATCGATGGCACAAAACAGCATTCCAACAAACAAGCACAGAGTGGGATGTGAAAGCCCCTGCTGGGATGACAAATTAACACCCCAGAGCCAAGGCGATGCTTTCCAGAGAGACTTTCAGTTCTGCATAAGTTTCTACTTGTTTCAAGATATCTTTACAAACAGAGGGCTGAAAATTTGTATTTCTAATGAAAGCCTAAAGCGGAGAGTGTCCATGGCATAACAAGCATGGTTTGTGACATTCGTTGCAATTTAGATGGAAAGAGTCATGGCTCGTTGCTCACAGACCAAGGATTACCTTGGTAATAACCTGAAAACACAGATATGTCTCAGATTTTGCTACAGACTTGAAGAAATTCACTTTTCAGCTCCTCAGACCAGCTAGGCTCACCAAGCAACAGTTTTTGCATGCCCCATATTAAGTATTTACAAGTCATTACTGCGAGGAACAGCTTTACTGCTATATGGCTCCAGGTCCCTGCCTGTCTCCGAGGAGCAGCTCAGGGAGTTTCCTGCGCGCACGAACACTCCAAGTACAAATCCCACGGCCATCTCGGCAGCACCGGATCAAAACCAGCGGTGCCTCTCAGTGTCTGTTTGCTGAACTCCACCCCGCACCTTCAGCACACTCATCCTCACCACCTGCACCCCAGCAGCAGGGCTGGACCCCGCGGTCCCCCCGGGCGATGCCCACCTGCTCCTGGTGCACGCCATGACCTGAGAGCACCTGCACTTGTCCTCCCACCCTGGAATGAAGGACGGATCCTCACCAAACATCTCAGCCCCGTGTAACCCCCAGCCCGGGCATCCCATGGAGACCCCACGGTACCACCAGCACCACGGGGGCCCGAGGCGATGGCACAGGGGCACGATGCACGCAGCGAGGACGGCGCTGTCCTACCTGAATGGCTTCTGTGGTGGGTGGAGGCCAGCGTCAGTCGTCCCCACAGCGTGGTAAGGCAGAGAGTGAGCACGAAAACCCATCTGCTCAGGCTTTGTACGTCTCTCTCACTCATTCTGCGAAAAACAAGAAGAGATGTGCGGAGGAAGAGGGGCTGGGGGTGCAGCCCCCACGCACCGATGCTGCTGGGCGCAGCAGCGCAGCCCCCGAGCACACGGGACCGGGGCGCTCCGGCTGCAGGGACACGGCCCTGGGAGGCATGGCACGCACCCGGGAGTCACCCACCAGCCCTGGCCAGGCTCGGACCTCTTCAGCAGCCCGGGCCAGGACAGCGGGACAGACAGACCCCATGGCAGCGCGGACGGGCGACAGGTACCTTT